ATCTAATAAAAGAGAAACATGCAAATTGACCATACCTCTCTACACCCACCAGCCATGCCCACAAAGCCAATCAGGAGTGAATATGCAAATTAACCCAACTAAGATGCCAGCAGCCACAGAGTTGGAGCAAGCAGGAGGCTTAGGTTGCCCCTGGCAATGGAGGAAGCCAAGCTTTCCGCCTGCCCTGCCGGTCCTGAGCTCCGTTCAAGGCTACAAAGTTTCAATTATAGAAGATAAATAAATCCCAGATACATGCTTCCAGCCCACGGCCGTGGCCAGCCTGAAAACAGCCCTCAGCCCCTCACCCAGGCTGGTCAAACCCCCATGGGGTGAGGGTCTCCACTGGGGGCTTGACCAGCCTGCAAACAGCCATCAGCCCCTCACCCAGGCTGGCCAGGCACCCCAGTGGGGACCCTGATCCAGGACAGCCTTCAGGGCAAACCAGTCGGCCCCCACCCATGCACCAGGCCTCTATCCTATATAATAAAAGGGTAATATGCAAATTGACCCTAACAGCAGAATGACTGGTCACTATGACACACACTGATCACCATGGGGCAGATGCTCAATGCAAGAGCTGCCCCCTGGTAGTCAGTGCATTCCTACAGGGGGAGCTCTGCTCAGCCACAAGCCAGGCTGACGGCTGCCAGCACAGTGGTGATGGCGGGAGCCTCTTCCGCCTCCTCAGCAGCACTAAGGATGTCCGACTGCAGCTTAGGCCTGCTCCCCGTTGGCAAGTGGACATCCCCCGAGGGCTCCTGGGCTGCCAGAGGGATGTCTGACTGCCAGCTTAGGCCCGGTCCCCCAAGGCGTGGGCCTAAGCCAGCAAGTGGACATCCCCCGTGGGGTCCCAGACTGTGGGAGTGCACAGGCCGGGCTGAGGGACCTCCCCGAGTGCACAAATTTTTGTGCACCGGGCTTCTAGTATATATATATATTATGAGAGAGAATCATTGATCGGCTGCCTCCTACATGCCTCACACTGGGAATTGAGCCCACAACCTGGGCATGTGCCCTGACCCATAATCAACCGTGACCTCCTGGTTCATAGGTTGACATTCATCCAGTGAGCCACATCGGCTGGGCTTAAGTTTCTTATTTTAAAACTTACGTTTATTTTCATTATAAATGTAATGCATGCTTGTTTTAAAAATTGATGCATACATGAAAAATAGAAGGAAAAAATTATTTGAGCCTATCATTCAAATATAACCACTCTTAAAATTTTGTTGTATTTTTTGCCATTCTTTTTTTCTGGTTATAAGCTTGTGATTGATTGGTTGCTTCTAATCATGTTATATAAAAAGTTGCTATCTCATCCTTTTCAATTAATATTAGTGTTTCCCATGTAATTAATTTTAAATGTATGCTGTTTTATCTAGCTGATTTACTGTTTTTTCTTAAGTATTACCCTTTTATTGGGTATTTAGATCCTTGACTCTTTAGGAGGAAGAGACTCTGAAAAGGAATGTATAAAGTTGGTTCTTTTTGTGTGTCTAGGTTATTTCTTTAGAGTGAATTCCCAGAAATTAGAATTGCTGGGTCAGAGACATTAACTATTTTTAAGCATCTTAATGTATGTTATAAGTTATTTTTCAAAAATGTTCTAGTCAGTTTGCATTTTTACAAACCTTTTATGAGCTGTATAAGTATCCCTTTCACTAAAATTTTAAAAAATCAGACTAGGTGATAATCGCACAATTTATTCTCTATTTCAATATCCTGTTTTCTTTTCCTGTATTTTTATACTCTGTACATTTAGGTAAATGATCTTCGAAAAGAATTAGAAAGTCGAACGCTTAGCTCCAAAGGGTTAAAATCCCAGTTAATAGCCCGATTGACAAAGCAACTTAAAGTAGAAGAGCAAAAAGAAGAACAAAAGGAATTAGAGAAATCTGAAAAAGAAGATGAAGAGGAGGATGATAGGAAATCTGAAGATGATAAAGAGGTACATACTAAATCACTTAAAATATACTTGTTACCTTTCTCCACTTTGGTCTGACTTCCTACCCTACGTTGTTTCACTGTTTGGATGCATTCTTGGCTCCATTTGGGTTTTATTGTTGGTAACTGAGCAGCTCATCTGCCCTGGTCATTGTAGCTCTCCTGGCCTGCCTGCCTCCATTCCTTTTGTAGACTTCTGCTTTGCCTGGAGGAATTGCTTTAGAATTGAACTGTTCAAGACAGGAAGATTTCAGGTGAAAATGGTGATATTATAATTGTTTTTTTTTATTTTCACGTATTCATCTTATCTATTTGATTTCCTGGTGGTATAGTTTTTTAATTCAAATACAGTCTTCTTTCAGTATCCCCGGAGGATTGGTTCCACGACCCCCATGGATACCAAAATCTGAGGATGCTCAAGTCTCTTATATAAAATGACAGTATTTGCATACAACCTGTATTTGCAAATAGATTACAGTAGGGTATGCGTATACATCACTTCATTTGAGTGAATTCAGCATAGTCTTGGCATATGGAAATTTTCAGTGTTGCTTTTTAGAAGTCTGGGATTTTTTTTCACTCTACTCCTCCCCCAAATATTTTGATTCACTGTTAAATATAGGGATGCAAAATCTGGGTTTACAAAGGGCCTGTATAGAAGGCAGAATCGGTGTTTGATTCTTTTTATCCAGTTTTCAAGATAATGAATTAGGTTCCCTGTCATCTTCAGATGGTTATATGTTTGTTTGTTTTTAGTATAATTATGAATTTAATCGTATTTGAATGGGTTTCAAGTCTGTATTTCTTATTTTTTTAACCTTTATTGTTGAGAGTTCTTATTCTTTTATTTTTTTATTCTTTATTGATTGGAGTATTAATATGTCTCCTTTTTCCCCCCATTGACCTCTCCCCGGCCATTCCCACCTCCCAGCACATGCCCTCTCCCCCCTTATGTCTGTGTCCATTGGTTATGTTTATATGCATGAATACATGTCCTTTGGCTGATCTCTTACCTCCCCCACCACCACCCTCACCTTCCGTCTGAGGTTTGACGATCTGTTTGATGCTTCTCTGTCTCTGTATCTATTTTTGTTCATCAGTTTATGTTGTTCATTATATTCCACAAATGAGTAAGATCATGTGATATTTATCTTTCTCTGATTGGCTTATTTCGCTTAGCATAATGCTCACCAGAGAATTCTTATTCTTATTGAAGCTCACATTGTCCCTTTTTTTGCCAGTGGATGGGAATATGTTCAGACACACAATACTAATTGTACCACCATCAATATTCTTGCCAAAGTTAGTTTGAAAGTATTTTTGCATTTTCTGTCCTATTTTCTTATTGTTTTTATGTTGTGCTAAAAATACATTGCTCTAGCATGCAGCATTACATACCATACTGTCTTTTAATACTAATTTAATCTTGGTTCTTCAAGTAAATATCTGATGCTCACCACGAGTCCATTTATCATGGTCTCTGAAGTTCATCTCTTAGATTCCTCAGAGCTCATGGTACTATTATTTAAGTCCTTGTATGTTGATAACAGTTAGACTATACCCTTTCTGCTTGAAAATCAGTTTTGCTGAATATTAATTATTTTTAATTAAAAAATAATTTTTAAAAATATATCTTTATTGATTTCAGAGAGGAAGGAAGAGGAGAGAGATAGAAACATCAATGATGAGAGAGTCATCGATCAGCTGCCTCCTGCACAACCCCCTACTGGGGACCGAACCCACAACCCAGGCATGTGCCCTTGACTGGAATCAAACCTGGGACCCTTCAGTCCGCAGGCTGACGCTCTATCCACTGAGCCAAACCAGCTAGGGCTGAATATAAAATCTTTGGCTCACATTTATTTTCCTTGATATACTTTTTGAGAAAGTTTTGCTTTCAAAAAGTAATAATTGCTTTCTGATGCAATCACTTGCTATTTTTCCTAGATGTACAAATTTTTCATTTAATTAGAAATGCAGTTAGATATTGGTCATTCTGGGTTAATCTATTCAGATGCTTGGTGTACTCTTTTTTAAAAAATACTATGTTTTTATTGATTTCAGAGAGGAAGGCAGAGGGAGAGAGAGATAGAAACATCAACGATTAGAGGGAGTCACCGATTGGCTGCCTCCTGCATGTCCTCTCCTGGGGATTGAGCCTGCAACCCCGGGCATGTGCCCTTGACCAGAATCGAACCTGGGACCCTTCAGTCCACAGGCCACCGCTCTATCCACTGAGCAAACCAGCTAGGGCATGGTGTGCTCTTTTAATATGTAATTTTGACTTTCCAGGAAAGTTTCTCTTTAACAAACTTTTTTGTGTGTGATAAAATATACATACATGAAAATTATCTTATACCATTTTTTAGTGTATAGTTCAGTGGCATTAAGTGCAACCGTCACCACTCTACATTTCCAGAAACTTAATCATTATCCCAAACAATATTAACTCTCCAACCTCTCTCCCCCAATCCCTTAGAACAGTGGTTCTCAGCCTTCCTAATGCCGCGACCCTTTAATACAGTTCCTCATGTTGTGGTGACCCCCAACCATAAAATTATTTTCGTTGCTACTTCATAACTGTAATTTTGCTACTGTTATGAATCGTAATGTAAATATCTGATATGTAGGATGTATTTTCATTGTTACAAATTGAACATAATTAAAGCATAGTGATTAATCACAAAAACAATATTTAATTATAGATGTGTTTTCCGATGGTTAGGCCACTCCTGTGAAAGGGTCGTTCGACCCCCAAGGGGGTTGCGACCCACAGGTTGAGAACTGCTGCCTTAGAACCTCTATTGTGCTTTCTATTACTATGAATTTGCCTGTATTTAGTAGATGTCCTTTTGTGTCTGACTTTTCTCAGCATAATGTTTTCAATGTTGTAGCATGTATCAGAACTTCATTTCTTTTTTAAGGCTGAATAATGTTGCATGGTCTGTATATACTAGTATACCACATTTTGTTTATTATTCATCTGTTTATGGGTATTGGGGATTGTTTTCATCTCTCAGCTATTGTGAATAATACTGCTGTGAAAAAGTAAGTTCCTTTTTCTGTTATCTTAAGGCATTATTTCTTGAATTTATTTGCTTTTATGTTTCTTCTGGTTTTATTCTTAAATTTCTGAAACTTTTTTTTCTAATTGTTTCTTTAATGTTAGCACCTTATTTTTTACTTTTAAAATTCTTGTTGTTCTTTCATGCCTTGTTAATAGTTTCTTAATGTCTTTTTGGCCTACTTTCATTGCCTGTAGGGATCTAATTCTGCTCCTTTAAAAAAAAAAATAGTAACTTTGTATGGAATTGACCTTCCGTTGCACTTATTTATGTGAATTTAGTTTACTTAAAATTTGAATAGAAGGAGGTTGCTTCAGATAGCTTCTAACTTCACGGAGCTCTATGTTCTGTTGTTTTCTTATTCTGTCAAGCAATATGATGGCTTCCTTTCTGAGATTTCTCTATTGCCCTGTCAGTTTTTCTTTTTTAAGATTTTTTAAATTGATTTACAGAGAGGAAGGGTGGGGTAGGGATGGAGGGAGGGAGAGAGAGAGAGACATAAACATCAATGTTCAAGCGAAACATCAATCGGCTGTCTCCTGCATGCCCCTTACCTGGGATGGAGCCTGAAACCATGCATGTGCCCAAACTGGGAATCAAACCAACAACCTTTTGGTGCACAGGACAAGGCCCCACTAACTGAGCCACACCGGACCTTCTCTTCCCAGGTCTCTGTTGTCCCTCTCTGGCTCAGTATTGATTCTACTCCCAGATGTTTCTCCTCAGTGTGGGGCCCTGTGCTGGAAGAGTGCCCTGATAAATCAGCTTTGTAGGTTTATAGGGCTAGAATGTTCTACCAGGGGTGGGCAAACTTTTGACTCGAGGGCCACAATGGGTTCTTAAACTGGACCAGAGGGCCGGAACAAAAGCATGGATGGAGTGTTTGTGTGAACTAATATAAATTCAAAGTAAACATCATTACATAAAAGGGTATGGTCTTTTTTTTTTTTTTTTTGGTTTTATTAATTTAAAAAAGGGCCCGCGGGCCGTAGTTTGCCCACGGCTGTTCTAGACCCTTTCAGGTCTTAACTCACTATTGTTGGAAGTAGAACTTTGCCTAATTTGAGCTGCTGTTTTTAATTGACCTACTTCGGTTTCCAGTTGAATGCCTGTTGACTATTGTTTTTTCTTTCCCTTTGGAGTATTTCGTGTTTTCCTGTCCTTAGATCCTTCAGGACAACTCCATTACTTCCTTCTGCCTTCCCCATACACGGACACCAGGAACAGATCTGGTTCTTGGGGCTTTTTTTCACCCTCTTGTACATTGGGATTAATGGAGATACTTTGTTACCTTGTTTTGTTGTGAATGTGCATGGATTTTGGTTTTGGTATCTAGATGATTTGGTATCTCTTTTTTGTTGTTGTTGTTGTCAATCCTTATTCGAGGATTTTTTTCCATTGATTTTTAGAGAGAGTAGAAGGGAGGGGGAGAGGCACAGAGAGAGGAACATTGATGTGAGAGAGACACATTGATTGGTTGCTTCCCATACCGCCTCCCCACCTGGGCCGGGGATCGAGCCTGCAACTCTTCAGTCCAGGGGCCAACACTCTATCCACTGAGCAACCCAGCTAGGGCTCTATCTCTTTTTAATTGTGCGGATTCAGGAAGATCCAGAAACCGTGCTACCACCAGTATTTTCCCAAAATCCCCTGATTTACTGTATGTAACATTAACATAGGTGTTTTCCCCCCTCTTCACAGGTAATTTCTTATGCTGGGAAATACAAAGAAAGAGCCATAAAAACAGCTAAGACTTAGTAAATTTGAATTTTTCTCCATTCTCAGCCCTTAGGGTTGGAGTAATCATCAGAAGTAGTCAGGGAATTTTTTCTTTACATGGTATACATTTGATTACAGTTGACTCTTGAACAATATTGGTTCTAGGGGCACCAGCTCCTGCTCAGTCAAAAATCTGTGTTCAGAGGCCTGGCTGTAACTCAGTTGGTTAGAGGGTTGTCCTAGTAGCCAAGGTTGTGGGTTCATTCTCCCATCAAGGTACATAAAAGAAGCAGCCAGTGAATACATGAATAAATGGAACAGCAAATCAATGTTTTTCTCTCTCCCTCTTTCCCTCTCTCCCCTTCCTTCTCTCCCTCCCTTCCTCTCTAAAAATCGATTTTAAAAAATCTTTATACAACTTTTGACTCCCTAAAAGCTTGCTGCCCTTGATATATTTTGGGGATTAGTTCCAGGAACCACTGTGGATACCAAAATCCATGGGTACTCAAGTCTTCTAAATAAAATGTCTTAGATCAGTGCATACAGTTGGCCCTCCATATCCTCAGACTCCCAGCCAGGGATAAAAACATTATAGGTATTGAAAAAAATTAACAAATGAGTGCACCTGTGCAATTCATATCATATTGTTCAAGGGTCAACTGTATGTACATATTGTACACAGAAATTTAACCTTTACTTAAAATTTCAAATACTTAGGAAGAAGAAAGAAAACGTCAAGAGGAAATGGAACGCCAGCGTCGGGAAAGAAGATATATTTTGCCTGATGAACCAGCCATTATTGTACATCCAAATTGGGCTGCAAAAAGTGGCAAGTTTGATTGTAGCATCATGTCTCTGAGCGTACTTTTGGACTACAGATTAGAAGATAATAAAGAACATTCATTTGAGGTACTGATTTAAGTTTGAATTGGGATCCAAATGAGAGCCACACAATTTGGGTAATATATCTTAAATTTCAAGGTCCTTTTTTATTCTGTTTTTTGTTTTTTTCCTTGCAATTTGTTATTTTGGGGGAGAAATAAAACCAGGTGATTTTTCACAGACCCACTTTTGCTGATTGCATTCCTATGGCATATTTTAAATGTTTGTTCTGGCCTTTGTACTTCCTGTAAATTGATGATCTTAAGTCAGGTTCAATTTCTTTTTTTCCTAAGACTACTTCATAAGGTAGTGGTATGTTTCCTCAGGATATCAGAGGTACGTGATACATAATATCTAATTGCCTCTCTTGGAAATGAGGCAATGCTTTATTACTTACTCTAGAATTGTAATACTAATTAATGGCATTGAAAATTTAATTTGTGATTGATTGAGGTGTAAGATACACTAATTGAGGTTCATCTTTTTAACATGAATCTATTTCTTTGTACCATTATTTTAGAGCAGCTTTACAACATACAGCTTATCATTTTTTGAAACAATTGAAGATGTTTATCCTTAAGCAAATGATGGTTTTATTCTTTGAATAAAACAATATAAAGTATCTGAAAATATTAAATTTTTAATAGCCTGTAAAAATAATAATCATGTTCAATTATTGTGTCTTACCAACATATCTCACCTTGTTTTAGTTTATATATTGTATTGGAAAAATCAGTCATACTTATTTGACCCAAGAAGTCATTGTCCACCAAATGGTTAGATGAAAATGAAGTAAAATGCTTAAACTAGAGACATTTGCAAGCACATATAGATTACTGAGGTAGTTAGAAAACATGAAATGCATGCATATTGGTCTTAATATGAAATGTTACATATGTTTAAATATTTATAATTTTTGATACATTAATAATTCCAGTAAGCTAATATCCTTAAATGTTATCTATCTGATATTTTTGTCACCAATTGCCATAAATTTAACTCATAGTAGTATTCTCCATGTAGTAGTCATTCAAGAAATAAGGGAAAAAATATTTTATATTACCTACTGCTTATAAAGTGTGTACTGTAGCCCCCTTCTGCACTGTAAGCTCCCCGAGGCGCTCCCTGCCACGCCACACCCCGCCCCACGCTGTCCCATGCTCTGGCTCGCGCTCTGGTTCCCACCTGGCCTCTGGCCCACGGCATCAGGCCCTCGCTTTCCAGGTCTGGCCCGCAGCCCTCCTCTTCTATTTTTCAAGTCCCTTGTGGGCAAGGATGTGGTCGTGGAACTCAAAAATGACCTGAGCATCGGTGAGATCCTCCATTCTGTGGATCAGTATCTCAACATCAAACTAACCGACATCAGTGTCACAGACCCTGAGAAATACCCTCACATATTACCGGTGAAGAACTGCTTCATCCGGGGCTCAGTGGTCCGCTATGTGCAATTGCCTGCACATGAGGTGGACATGCAGTTACTACAGAATGTAGTGAGGAAGGAGACCCTGCAGCAGAAACAGTGATGACTCCTCCTCTACCCCCCTTTCCTCTTCCATTGGTGATCCTTGTCCTGGTGTCCCAGCCCGGGACCCCTCCTTCATACTTAAGGTGTTTATTGTTTTTCAATAGTGAAGTTGCTTTTTTAAAAAGGGATGAGTAGGTGAGAAGACTAATTAGTGGGGAGCAGCTATCCTCAGTGAGAAGGGGAAGATAAGTTGTCTGGGGAACTGCAGTGTTCCTCGTCCCCAGCACATGCCTTTCTTACTCCTTCCCCAGAGATGGTGGGAGAATCTCCTAGATTTCCAGGGCAGCATGTGATTCATTTGGGGGAATGGAAGGAATCTGTTCTGCATCGGGAATAAAATTTATGGTGCAAAAGTAAAGTGTGTACTGTATATCTAACTAATGCTGTAAGAGGCTCCCAAATTAATGCTACTCTGGTGGAAACAAAATAATTTGTGAAACAGCCCTTTGCTAACAAAATGGTCCTTTCTTTTTCCTCCCCACCTAACATATCCTCCTGGTTAGTTTCCTTTTAACCTATTATTAGAATGAAGAAGTCATTTTGATATATTAATTTAAAAGAAATTATTCTATAAGAAAAACCATTTATCATTAAAATTATAAATATTTAGCTGATTTAATATTAATGGTAGATATATGTCTTTCAATGCTTGTAGATGAAAAGATATGCAGAATTAATTCTGCTCTTCTAGTTACTGTTCTGTACTAATCTAGCACATTTTAATACTGCTTTTTATCTCTATGTAATAGAAAACTTTAAGGAAAAGATATGCCTCTTGCTATTTACTTACCCAAAGGGAGATTTTTGTTTAATGGTTAAGAGAAAGTAGAATTTTAAACATCTTTAATGGTCATTTTACTAATAATAGAGTTATTTTTATTAAAAATGTATAATGACTGAGCATGATTTAAATATAAGATCAATTACAATTTTAATACATTGTATTATCCTTTATGATCAGGAAAATAGATTAAACTGTTTTACCAAATATACTGAATATATTGCCAAAGATTACATATTTAGCATTTCAATTTAATTTGTTGAAAGCAATTAACTTTAGATATATTTACATAAGAAATTTAGTATATAATTTTAGGTTCCTGAGTATGCTAAAGTTCATTACCCATGTGTTCTCAAATAATAATGCATGCTTCCTACTCAGAATTTTGAATTGGTTTCCCTTACCTGGAATGCTCTTCTAGTGTCTATCTATATATGGCATTCCCCTATCACCTTCAAGTCACTTTTTAGAATGCCCGCTGATCAGAGAGGCCTTCTCTGATTATAGTCTTATTACTCTCTGCTTTTATCTTGCTTGTTTCCTTATAATTTGATGTTAATTTCATTATTCTGCACTTTCTCTTACTGTGTTGTTAGCTCATGTGAGTTGGGATTTTTATCTGCTTTCTTAAGAAATAAAATGTTGCCCTGGCTGGTTTGGCTTGGTGGATAGAGCGTCGGCCTGCAGACTGAAGGGTCCCAGGTTCGATTCCAGTCAAGGGCATGTACCTTGGTTGCAGGCACATCCCCAGTAGGGAGTGTGCGGGAGGCAGCTAATCGATGTTTCTCTCTCATCGATGTTTCTAATTTCTTTTTTTTTTTAAAGTATATTTTATTGGTTTTTTACAGAGAGGAAGGGAGAGGGATAGAGAGTTAGAAACATCGATGAGAGAGAAACATCGATCAGCTGCCTCCTGCACACACCCTACTGGGGATGTGCCCGCAACCAAGATAATGCCTTTGACCGGAATCGAACCTGGGACCGCAGGCAGACACTCTATCCACTGAGCCAAACCGGTCAGGGCCACAATTTTATTTTTAAAAAAAAATAAATAAAATAAAATGTTTTTATTGATTTTTAGAAAGAGAGGAAGGGAGAGGGATAGAGAGATAGAAATATTGATGAGAGAGAGAAACATCATCCAGTGGCTGCCCCCTGTAAACCAATACCGGAGATTGAGCTCAAAACCTGGGCATGTGCCCTGACTGGGAATTGAACTGGTGACCTCTTGGTTCATGGGTTGATACTCAACCACTGAGCCACACTGGCCATGCTTATCTACTTTCTTCACACTATATCCCCAGTGCCTGGAACAGTTCCTGGTACACAGGAGGCATTTCATTAAAAAAAACAAAACAAAAAAACTTGGGTAAATGAATAAAGTACATTTATCATGAAGATTAATTGTATAAGGTAGTAGAGATTCTTTTTTTTTCTACACCTGATTTTCTATAGCATACTTTTGTTTTTTAAAAATAATATTTGACCAAAAGGATACTAAACATAGTATTTATATCTTCAGAAGAATTTTTGAGGATTTTGAGGCTTCTCAACATCATTGACATCAATTATAACTGTTTTTAGTGCACATTAATTGTTAGATATTGCAAGTTATTTGACAAATTACTGACTGTACTGGATTTTTTTCAGTATTTCTATTAAAGTTGTCTGGATTACTGTTGGTATCTTTTTATAGGTTTCATTATTTGCAGAACTTTTCAATGAAATGCTTCAAAGAGATTTTGGTGTCAGAATATACAAATCATTATTATCTCTTCCTGAGAAAGAGGACAAAAAAGAAAAGGAAAAGAAAAGCAAAAGAGATGAGAGAAAAGATAAAAAAGAAGAAAGAGATGATGAAATTGATGAGCCAAAACCCAAACTAAGAAAATTGGGGGATGATAAAGATAAGAAAGAAGATAGAGATGAAAAGAAGGTCTGTAATAATTTCTCTGACCACCAAACCTAATTTAGAAGTTTTCCAATTAATCTCTAGAATATAACAAATAATGATGAGTTTCATCAGAATAGTGAAACATAAAGGCAAAACAAACGTTTTAGTGTATTCGAAATTTAAGTCTTTGACTTAAGCCTATATAAACATCTGTAACTAGTTTTATAGTTTATTCTTTTTGTTTAAGCCAGACAGCATGATTTGATTTACATATATTGTGAATGGCAGTTTATTCTTAAAGTGTATTATTGTAATAAATATTTAATGTGATTCTACCTCAAGTAAGTTTAGCGGATTTAATTTTTTTGTTTGTTCTAAGTCGATATTTGGCAAGATGTTTTGCATATTAATTTTAAAGTATTTTAAATTACAGAAAGAAGATAAAAGAAAAGATGATTCTAAAGATGATGATGAAACTGAAGAAGATAATAATCAAGATGAATATGATCCAATGGAAGCAGAAGAAGCTGAGGATGAAGAAGATGGTATGATTCAAATTTATTTCTAAAGAACGTATATACAGCCCTGGATGGTTTGGTTCAGTGGATAGAGTATCGGCCTGTGGACTGAAGGGTCCTAGGTTCGATTTCAGTCAAGGGCACATGCTCAGGTTGCGGGCTAGATCCCCAGAAGGGGGCATGCAGGAGGCAGCCGATTAGTGATTCTCAGATCAGTGATTCTCTCTCATCATTGATGATTCTATCTCTCCCTTCCTCTCTGAAATCAATAAAAATATATTATTTTTTAAAAAGAAAATATACTTATATGTAGCCCATAGATACAAACAATAGTGTGGTGAAGTTGTGGAGTGGGATAGGGACTGAATGGAGGCAGGCCAACGTGTGGGACAATGGGAGACATTGTGATACTGTCAACAATAAAAATTCATTTCTTCTTAGTATAAAAAATATATTTGTTGTTTAGTAACTTTATCTTTGAAATCTATAATTTTAATATTTTTTAGAATACAAACTATTCTTTAGTGAAAAAATCTTTATATTAAGTAATTTTATTTTTAGGTGAGAGATTTAAATATATTTAAAAAAAGAAAACTGATTTTTGCATTTTTCTTTTTTATATATATATTTTTATTGATTTCAAAGAGGAAGGGAGAAGGAGAGAGAGAGAAACATCAGTGATGAGAGAGAATCATCAATCAGCTGCCTCCTGCACACCCCCTACTGGGGACCGAGCCCACAACCCAGGCATGTGCCCTTGACCGGAATCAAACCTGGGACCCTTCAGTCCACAGGCTGACGCTCTATCCACTGAGCCAAACTGGCTAGGGCTGATTTTTGCATTTTTCAAATATTATGAAGACGATTATACATCCAAGTTTTTTTTTTGCTGTTTTTTTTTTTTTTTACCTAATTGTTTATTAGGTAAAAATTTTGCAAACATATATTAGTGGTAACAGTGGAGTTGAAGAGTATTGCACCTTCTCCAAACTGCACAACAAGAACCACCAATAATGGTGCTTGCAGACAGCTTGGTGACCCATTGGGTGTCAGGATGTCTGGCTTTATGGAATGGATCAATGAGGGTAACCTCAACGAATCTGTGCATTGAACTTCACCAAACCAGTTAGAATTCAAGACTCTCAGGGCCCCACAGTGCCACCCAGCTTCTTCCTCAGAAGTAGACTGAAGGCTTCCAGCAAATTTTAGCTGGTTACCACCATGATATGATGGACAGTCTTGCCCTAGGTTGCACCCTTAGGACTTGAGCGTTTGTGGCCACCACTGTGCTCATGAATCTGATCTATGACATGACCTTGCATGGCCTTGTATCCCAGCTTTATGAGGCCAGGTGGAGAACAGAGAGCTGGCAGTACCGCCAGCAGTGCACCCTGAGAAGAAAGCGCATTATATCAGACTGCTTCTTCCTGGATGTACTTGTAAGTGCCCTTCTTGGCTTCCCTGATCGCTGCAGCCAGGTTGAAAGATATCACCCAAGTTTTAAATCAAACTTTTACCAATAGGAATGATATTCAAAATACTTTACAATAGATTACCTAACCAGACATAGATGCCAGCCATAAAGTACCTGTAAAGTTCCACTGTTAATTTTCTAGGTTTTTTAATAACAGTTTGAGCTTGCCAATATATACCACAAAACTCACTCATTTTAAGTATACAATTTAACTTTTAAAAAAATATATTTTTATTGATTTCAGAGAGGAAGGGAGAGGGAGGGACGAAGAGAGAGATAGAAACATCAGTGATGAGAGGGCTGCCTCCTGCATGCCCCACACTGGGGATCAAGCCTGCAACCAGGCATGGCATGTGCCCTGACCGGGAATCAAACTGTGACCTCATAGTTCATAGGTCAGTACTCAACCACTGTGCCACACAAGCCGGGCTCCTTTTAGCTTTTGTTTTTTTAATTTAAATTATTTATTGTTGAAAGTATTTCTCCTTTTAGCTTTTAGAAAATATACTTGGCTCTGTGTTTTGTTTAAATTTGTTATTTTCAATTTTGTGTATAAAATTCAGGTTTTTAGCCCTAACCGGTTTGGCTCAGTGGATAGAGCATCGGCCTGCGGACTCAAGGGTCCAGGGTTCGATTCCAGTCAAGGGCATGTACCTTGGTTGCGGGCACATCCCCAGTAGGGAGTGTGCAGGAGGCAGCTGATCGATGTTTCTCTCTCATCGATGTTTCTAACTCTCTATCCCTCTCCCTTCCTCTCTGTAAAAAATCAATAAAATATATTAAAAATAAATAAATAAATAAAATTCAGGTTTTTAAAAATTGTGCCATCCAGATATTTATAGAATTAGTTTCTTTTATCTGATTAAATAAAGGCAGTCTTTTCTTTGCACTAGTCAGTTTATAAGATTCTTTTATTGTTTTTAATTGTTTCTTACAAAATCCAAACTATTTTTATTTATGTGTTTCTTTGCTAAAATGTCTTTTTTTTTTTTCTTTCTTTCTTTTTTAATTTATTGGAGTTACATTGGTTAATAAGATATAGGTTTCAGGGGTATAATTCTATAATATATCCCATTTGCTAATGTGTCATTTGAAAACTGATTAGTAATAGAAAAGTATTTTTTGTCTCTGTTGTAATTGAAATCTGTATTGAGTTTGTTGCTACTCTTGTATTTATTTTACAGATCGGGATGAGGAAGAAATAAACAAACGAGATGACAAAAGAGATATCAACAGGTACTGCAAGGAGAGACCCTCTAAAGATAAGGTATTTATTGTTTACTGTGTTCTTTATAATGTGATAATTCCATTTCTTACATAATCCAGGCTTATTACTAAACACTAGAGGCCTGATGCACGAAAATTTGTGCACTGGGCGAGGAGGGTCCCCTCAGCCCTCTCACAGTCCAGGACCCTTCGGGGGATGTCCACCTGCCAGTTTAGGCTCGCTTCCTGGGGGATCGGGCCTAAACTGGCAGTCAGACATCCCTCTGGCAACCTGGGAGCCCTCAGGGGATGTCTGACTGCAGATAAGGCTACGGAGGAGGCGGAAGAGGCTCCCGCCATCACCACACCACTGCGCTCACAGCCATCAGCCCGGCTTGTGGCTGAGCGGAGCTCCCCCTGTAGGATAACATAGTTATGAAGTTTATTGGTCCTTGTTATATCTATATATTACCACTCAGAGCAAAATTCTGCTATTTTTATATTTGTGGTTATGTCAGATAACCAGTATATCTTATTCCTTTCTCCCATACACATAAACCAGATATCAACTTATTTGAGCTAAGATGAGGTAAAGGTGTTTTCCAATTTTTGTTATTATATGGACATAGTCTCAATTTCTCACTTTTCAGGGGTAAAAATTATATGCTATGTCTTCTATATTCTCTTTAGGAAAAAGAAAAGACTCAGATGATCACAGTTAACAGGGATCTGTTAATGGCATTTGTTTATTTTGATCAAAGTCATTGTGGTTATCTTCTTGAAAAGGATTTGGAAGAAATACTTTATACTCTTGGACTACATCTTTCTCGGGCTCAGGTAATCTTGTGAATATTTAAAATGAAGAGCATTTTTAAGTAACTTTTTTTTTTTATCTCTTAGATTTTTTAAGTATAAAAGCAATACAGTATATATGTATTAAATATAGTAGTACAGTCAAGCAGTTATGAAATGTATAAAAAAGTTAAATGTCGCCCTAGCCGGTTTGGCTCAGTGGATAGGGCGTCAAAGGTACCGGGTTTGATTCCGGTCAAGGGCACAAACCTGGGTTGCAGGCTTGATCCCTAGTAGGGGATGTGCAGGAGGCAGCCGATCAATAATTTTCTCTTGTCCTTGATGTTTCTATCTCTCTCTCCCTCTCCCTTCCTCTCTGAAATCAATAAAAATACGTTTTTAAAAAGTTCAATGTCCCCTCTCCTAATTCCCATCCAATATGTATGAAATCATTTGATAGATATTGATAGACAACTTTTTTTCCATTTAACAATCTATCATAGGCATTCTACCATGAAAATAGAGTCCCACTTTATTCTTTTTATGACTGTTTAATATTACATGATGTAGATGTGCATAATTGCCTTTAACTAGTCACAGTTGCTGGCTGGCTTTCAATTTTTTAGAATTGCAAACTAAGAGGGAAGGAGGGGGTGGGTAAGAGATCAACCAAAGGACTTGTATGCATGCATATAAGCAGAACCCATGGACACAGACAGTAGATGAGTGAGGGTATGTGCTAGGGGGTGGAAACAGCCGGGGAGAGGTCAATGGGGGAAAAAGGAGACACATGTAATATTTTAAACTATAAAGAATTTTTTAAAAATTTCAAAGAATTGCAAACTATGCTATAATAAACATCCTTGTACATTCTATCTATATATATAAAAGCCTAAGCGACTGGCTGACTGGCTGGTAGGAATGACGTGCACTGACCACCAGGGGCAGATGCTCAATGCAGGAGCTGCTGAGGAACAGCAACTTTGCAGAGTACCCTCTTGCACTCTGGGACCCCTCAAGGGATATTGGGCTGCTGGTTTTGGCCCGATCCCTGCAGGCCAGGCCAAGGGACCCCACCTGCCAGAGGGACCCCGCTCACTCTACAGACGCCCTTTGAGCCCTGGCACGGCCCCAGGTGTCACCGGCTGGGGAGGGACCGTGAGAGGTTGGCTCCAGGGAGTGTCCAGCCTGTCTTGCCCAATCCCACCCCACCTGCCACCTTCTAATTAATTTACTTTCAGTGTGCACAAATCCATGCACCAGGCCTCTAGTCTATACATAAAAGCCTAAGCAACCGGCCAACTGTTCGACCAGCCAACCGGTAGCTATGACGCGCACTGACCACCAGTGGGCAGACACTTAACGCAGGAGCTGCTGAGCTGTGGTGACTTGGCAGCTGTGGTTCTCGGGTGACGCACCCGAAATCAGAGCAGGGAGCCCAATTCCAGGGTGCATCACCTGAGAACCACCCTCTTGCAATCCAGGACTCCTTGGGGGATGTCAGAGAGCCGGTTTCGGCCCAATCCCCGCAGGCCATGCCGAGGGACCCTACTGGTGCACAAATACATGCACTGGGCCTCTAGTAAGTACTAGTATTATAATAACTGTCTTTGTACATATAATTTATGTTAGTTTTTCTTTCAGCATTAGACTTTTGTTTTTAACAAAAAATTTTCAACCCTAGCTGTTTGGCTTAGTGGATAGAGCATCAGCCCTGTGAACTAAAGGGTCCTGGGTTTGATTCTGGTCAAGGACATGTATACCTTGGTTGCAGGCTCGATCCTCAGCTTTGGTCGGGGTGTATGCAGGAGGCAACCAATCAATGTGTCTCTTTCACATTGATGTTTCTCTCTCTCTCTCTCTCTGTCTCTCCCCCTGTCTTCCACTCTGTCTAAAAATCAATGGAAAAATATTCTCAGGTGAGGATTAACAAAAATAATAATAGTTTAAAAAAGGTTTTTCAAATTATAATTGGGATTTTAAGTTTCTATGGAAGATAGTTCAAAGATTAAGTGCTCTCATTGAGACTGAGTACCTGAGAAAACACAGTTTTTGTTCAAGGGGAGTAAAAAAATTATTTTCATCTTTGTAACTTTTTTACTTATATAACAGGTAAAGAAGCTTCTTAATAAAGTAGTACTCCGTGAATCTTGCTTTTATCGGAAATTAACAGATACCTCAAAAGATGAAGAAAACCATGAGGAGTGTGAAGCACTGCAAGAAGATATGCTAGGTTTGCGAGTATTATTTTAAAATTGTGCCACTATATAATTGTATTATTAGTTAAAGAAAAAGTAAAATATGGTACCTTTTATATTATAGGAAACAGGTTATTACTTCCAACACCAACAGTAAAACAGGAATCAAAGGATGTGGAAGAAAATGTTGGCCTTATTGTTTACAATGGTGCAATGGTAGATGTAGGAAGCCTGTTGCAAAAATTGGAAAAGAGTGAAAAAGTAAGAGCTGAAGTAGAGCAGAAGCTACAGTTACTAGAAGAAAAAACAGGTAAGAACAGAATTGGATGTGTCAGTACTTCTAACACCCTATTGGGCTATATACAGGGTGTCCCCAAAAAATGTATACACACTTAAACAGCTGGTAGCTCAACTTTGAACATGAAAGGTAGTTTAATAAATACTGCCTTTATAATTATTCAGAGTGTGTGTATATATTTTTGGGGGACCCTATATTTGTGTAGATACATACATGCCTTTACATATTATATATCATATATTTTAGTCTAGGCCACATGATTTAACTTTACTTTTGACCATTTTGGTTAAATGTAAGAAATTGCTTAGCTATATGAGACTTAATTTTAGATCTTCATGTGTATGTTCAGGTTTTTGTTAGTTTTTTGCTGGTTCTTAAAAATATATTTTTATTGATTTCAGAGAGGAAGGGAGAGAGAGATAGAAACATCAATGATGAGAGAGAATCATGCACGCCCCACACTGGGGATTGAGCCTGCAACCTGGCATGTGCCCTTGACCAGAATCCAACCCGGCACCCTTCAGTCCACAGGCCAACGCTATATCCCCTGAGCCAAACCGACTAGGGCAACCCAAGGATATTTTTCCATTGATTTTTAGAAAGTGGAAGGGAGGAGGAGAGACAGAAACATTGATGTGAGAGAGACACATCAATTGGTTGTCTCCTGTACATGCCCCGACCAGGGCCGGGAACCTGCAACCAAGGTACGTGCCCTTGACCGGAATCGAACCCAGGACCCTTCAGTCCGAGGGCCGATGCTCTGTCCACTGAGCCAAATGGGCTAGGGCTTCATCCTCCTATTTTTGACTAGTTTCTGCTACTTTGTCTAATCTATGCAATCATCTAAAAATGGAACCTGGCCCTGACCAGTTTGGCTCAGTGGATAGAGCGTCGGCCTGCCAACTGAAGGGTCCCAGGTTCAATTCCAGTCAAGGGCATGTACCTTGGTTGTGGGCACGTCCCCAGTGCGGGGTGTGCAGGAGGCAGCTGAATCGATGTTTCTCTCTCATCGATATTCCTAGCTCTCTACTGCTCTTCATCTCCCTTCCTCTGTATAAAATATATTTTTAAAAAAAATAAAACAATGGAGCCCTAACCGGTTTGGCTCAGTGGATAGAGCGTCAGCCTGCGGACTCAAGGGTCCCAGGTTAGATTCTGGTCAAGGGCATGTACCTTGGTTGTGGGCACGTCCCCAGTGTGGGGTGTGCAGGAGGCAGCTGATCGATGTTTCTCTCTCATCGGTGTTTCTAACTCTCTATCCCTCTCCCCTCCTCTCTGTAAAAAAATCAATAAAATATATTTAAAAAAAAAAAAGAAAAACATCTGATCTTTAAAAAAAAAAAATGGAACCTGGATTTTAGAAGTAATACTTATATAAAACTTAAGTTAGTATTGCAGTTTGCTTTGTAATTTTTGAAATTGATATTTGTGGGCTATTTTAAGGAATATCATATGCATTTTTTAATAGATGAAGATGAAAAAACCATATTAAATTTGGAGAATTCCAACAAAAGCCTCTCTGGTGAACTCAGAGAAGTTAAAAAGGACCTGAGTCAGTTACAAGATAACTTAAAGATTTCAGAAAATATGAATTTGCAATTTGAAAACCAACTGAATAAGACAATCAGAAACTTATCCACAGTAATGGATGAAATCCACACTGTTCTCAACAAGGTTAGTAGTTTGTACTTTCAATGTTTTCATAATTTATTCCAGTTTTTTAATCTATTTCACACTATTTCTTGGTGGTTTTTCTAGGAGCAAATAATGGTAGCGTTCTGCCCTTCATCAGATTGTTCAAAAGCAATTCCCTAAATGTCATATTTTTCTAAAACCTACTCAGGATGTCAACATGGTTTACGTGAACAGATTTCCTATAGCAAATGTTATTTGTATTCCTCAGTGAATTTGAATTTGAGGAAGATAAAACCACTCTTTTCTTTTTAAAACCCATTTACTTTTGGGCAGAGTTGAGAAGCTCTTTGGCACTCTCAAAATTAATTTACTAGTACTCTTTTGTTACTAGGGAAAAAATCCAGTAATTCAATGCCATTTTAAACTAACTTCAATAATAGAGATCTACAATCTTTTTTCTCTTTCGGAACAAGAAGAAAAAAAGCTATAGTGTAAGGAATTCACTACTGTTATTCCTTAGAACTTCTCATTTCTCAGGGCTCAGATGGCTTTCTCAAATACTAGAAGCCATTCTGCATAGAATTTAAAGATTTGAACATAGTTGCCCCACAGGGTCAATTTTCCATAGATATTAAAATGGAGTATCTCTGTTTACTAACGTTTATTACTTGTTATAGTTACATTTAAGAGACTCTAATAAAATATACTTTTTCCTTGTCTGTTATTTTATATAGGATAATGTGAAGAGTGAAGATAAAGATCAGAAATCCAAGGAAAATGGTGCAAGTGTATGATAATACATGTAGTGACGAAGGAATGGTGTTAAATAATGTAATATAAAAAATCATGATACAAGAATGTTTGGAAGTGATGCATGTTTGATTTTAGTAGTATAAATATCTGTTAGTACAAACGATGTATAAAGTTTTATGAATGTGAGAGTCTGCTTTTGAAAATTGCTTGTAATTCCTGGCATTCAAATTATTAAACACTCCTTGAGTGAAATAATTTTGCATTGCAAAATGTTTTAGGATCAACTTTGTTATAGTTTTAACACCAATAAACTTCATCAGTTTAATTGACAGTAGAATTTAATTACCAAATGTCTTTTATTAAAATACCTAGGGGGGAAAAGAGAGAAGAGAGAGGAAAAAAAAAAAAGCCTAGAAAATTGCGGTAATTTTATTTATAGAATTTTTTTAAGTTTTAGTATTTTAAAATTTTAGTATAAATCATAAAATAGCATGCTGCTTAAGTTTTGCAAGTTTTTGACCCAGACTTTTTTTACTTGTCATAAAAAGATATTTCTCTAATATCTGTCTCTGAAAACATTCATTAAAAATTCAATTTAGCCGAAACCGGTTTGGCTCAGTGGATAGAGCGTCGGCCTGGGGACTGAAGGGTCCCAGGTTCGATTCCGGTCAAGGGCATGTACCTTGGTTGCGGGCACATCCCCAGTGGGAGATGTGCAGGAGGCGGCTGATCGATGCTTCTCTCTCAT